GGCTCTACCTCCATCTTCAAAGAACGATGGTATATTCTCCCGATAGGCTTCGTTAACCATTCGTTCCATACTTATATTTTCATCTACTTCCGGTCTTGGTTCCTCTACCATATCCGCACTAATACTAGCATAATTCCCCATTGAACCATCTTCACCATGCAAATACCATATTTTATACCCCAGCATAAATCCATCTCTATAAAGATGTTCTAATACAATACGCCCAAATTTCTTTTTACGATTCCAACATTGAGAACAAGGGCACGACAGTTTACCTTCTTATGTGGTTTTTGGTTGGTTTAATGCAAGATTCATGAACTCTTGAACTCCGTCGTAGAACTCATCCGTAAGTAGATCCGTCTCTAGATCATGAGAAGGTTTGTCCATCCAAGCTCGAAACTATTGATCTCTATTTGAAGGTGCCATTGTAACTTTTATTCTTATGATTTTGTGAATCAAGATGTGCTAGTAATTATAAAATACTTCAGCGATTTTGCCATGGATTTCCTACCGATTTTCGGTCGGAAATTTAAAATTCAAACGGTTATAAAACGGCTATTTTTTTCTTTCCGATTTTCGACGGGATTTATTTCCCACGAATATCCGACCAATTTTCCAACCGAATTCCGACCATTTGAGTTTCCCACGGATTTCCGATCCATGTTTTCAACCAAAATCCGACATGCACTGTTTTCATCGAAAATTTCCTACGGATTTTTGACTGAAATTTTCCCGTCGAAAATCGGTCCAAAATATGTCTCAATTCGGTGGCAAAATTTCGACGACGAGTTGTCTGTTGGAAATTCCGTCCGAAAGTGGCATATTTTCTGTAGTGTGAAGTTTTCTTGTTGTAAATTTGTTGAAACCGTGACCTACCATGACAAAAGGTGATGAAATTTCATCAAATCTTTCCTTTTTTCTGATTTTGCGGGTTACTTAATGTTCATTTTGGGTCATATTGTATATTTGACCGCATGATAAAATATAAGACAGGAGAAGAAGCAATGTCTACGAAGCTTCACTTGATGTTAACCAATATTTAAATGGGTGTTGTTAAAGATACTAAGGGTTGGATAGTGGGGATGGATGGTTGTGTTGAGATAGATTCGTTTTCTGATAACAAATAAAAATTTGTTATTTGTTGTTTAAAGAAATATTACTCTTGAGTTCTTGTTTTAGAAGTTTTCTGTTTATTGATTGTTGTTTTTATGGTTTATTAGTAAATCTTGGTATTATATGATTTATAGTAGTTCAAATCTATTTGAAAAGAATAATTTACGTTTTAAAAGTGTAACAGTGATCCATTATGGATACCAGAGAGGAACTTTAATAGTATATAAGAAAAAACAATTTGCCGAAAAACTGGTAATATGAAGTAGGTCAAAATAAACTCATAAAATTTTTGCCAAGAATTGGACCGAATTTTTTTTCTTACAAAACGAAATTGATATTGAATTTTGAAATTCGCTTTTTCTGCAATGTTTCTTACATTGTAAAAAATTATATATTTATAAAAAGGAAATTAATAACATTTTATGAGTAGAAAAAACAACTTTCTTGCTGTAGCTCTGGATTTGTTGCTGTAGAATTTAGTCTGTAGATTTTTCTGCTGTAATTTTAGATTTTTTATGCTGTGAGAAAATCCTACAACCTTTAAAGTCATAAAATAGTTTCTTTAGA